GGGAAGAAATAGGGAGCTGATATCAGGGGCTTAAGTGGGCAAAGAATGCTTTGAAAATGATGATGGCAGCATATGTACAAATGTGCTTGACACACTGGATGCATGCATGGATGATGTAAGATGAATGCATGGATGATAAAAATATTTAATTAAAAAAGAGAGAGAAAGTCCCAGACTGGGTTCTCCGTTCAGCTTCTCCTGCCTGCCTCCGTAGTCATTTTCCCCTGGGCGCTGAAACCCTTCTGGATTCTGTCCCTGCCCCTCCCAGAGCCCTGTGAGTTTCTCAAGGACTGCCAGTGAGTCACACTCCTCTTTTTGTCTGCCCAGCGTAAGTAGGCGCTCTCTCGGTGGTAGATGAGTGAGTGGGTGGACGGCCTGGTGGAAGCGGACACACGGACAGTCACAGCTTAGCCAGGGCCTGGAGCACCTGCTCAACCACTGACTAGTTAGAAGCTGTGCTGGCGGCGGGCGTCCGCACCAGGGCTCCTGATTTCTGGTAGAGTCGCCGATGGTTTAGCGTTCAGCCTGGGGCCCTCGGGACAGGGTGGGCTCTGCACAGTTCGTGTCCGCGACTACAGGCCTGCACCGGAGACTCTCTCACTGGAACTCATGGGCACTTCCTAGGCGCTGAGAGAAAACACAGCAGTCTTGTCTAGCCAGGAGGACAGGTTGGTCTGGGTCAGAAGGCACCTGTGTGGCTTACTGCCCTGCCTGCACTTCCTGTTGCCCACGGGGCCTCGGTCCTCACAGGCAGGGGACCCAGCTCGTGTGCAGCTTCCTCATGGACGCGCCGTGTAGACTTCCACTTCAGAATAGGGAGCGCTCCGCCGAGCCTCACCCGCCTCACCCGTGCCCCAGCAACGCTGTGAGTCTTCGGGCTGGCAAATGGAGGGGGCATGGCGCTCCTTGTCTCTCCTCCCCCGCTTGGGGGCACCCTTCTCAGGGGAGCCTGGCCTACAGCAGGTTCTTGTCGACACCAGACACACCACCTGGTGACATGCCTCTGTGCTCATGGCCTACTTTCTCAACGATGCCAGCAACCAGGAGGAAGCCCAATGCTGCCTGGTCTGTGCCTTCCCGAAGGAGAGCGTGTCTGCACTAGGCCGCTTGAAGCCGGCCCCGTCCTGAGCCTTCTCTCCCCGCCTGGTGAGGGTCCGTGACCCGGAGCGGACATTCATAGTGCAGCTGCCTGGGTTGGGGGGAGGGGGAGGTTGCCAGCACCGTGTGTCTAAAAGGAGGCCCCTGTGTGTACCGCACTGAGCCCTGAGCAGGAGAGGAGCACTGGCCAGCCTGGGCCTCATGCCTCACCCTGTGTTTTGCAGACCTGAACGCCAAGAGGAAAAAGAAAGTGGCACACATATACGAGGCCCTGAACAGCGACCCCGCCGATGTGGACGCCCTCCGGCGCCTGGCCATCGATGAAGGCGGCCTCCTGACTGATGAGATCCGGCAGGAAGTGTGGCCCAAGCTCCTCAACGTCAACACCAGTGACCTCCCTCTTCTGTCAGGTACTAGCATGGGTGACCTTGAGGGCAGGGGAGGCTGGAGGAGGGTGCAGGGAGACCCCTACCAGGATCTTTGATTTCCATGCTCCTCTCAGATCATGAGCAGGTGGGCAAAGCAGGAACGCCGTGGGCCTGCGTGGGCCACTCTGAAGGCAGGGCCCACTGTGAAGGAAAGAAAGGCTGTTCAGAAGTGGAATGCACTTTGGTCAGGGCCAACGTGTTGGCTAGGTAGGGCAGCTTATTAAAATTACCTGCTCTAGTCTCGAGCCGGGAGTGCTGGTGGTGTCCTGGTCAGTGGCTAGAACCTACCGGCTGCTCTGTGGGAGAAAGAGGAGGCTTTCCACTCCTGTGAAGAGTTGCAGTCTCGGGAGCGTGGGGCAGTGCCTCCCTGCCCAACGGGATCGCTATCAGCCAGAGTCGTCTCCATGCCGTGAGTTTGGTTAGGGAGTCTGGAGCCACGTGCTTGGGTGTGAGCTGGAGGAATATGTGTGGTAAGACGCTCTCTACTCAATTCAGGTGCAGCTGGAACACCGTTTGGGTGATGCCAGGCTGCAGAGAGAGAGTTCAAAACCCCTTTTGGTTGGGGAAATGCCAAGATCCTTGTTGATTCTAAAATGCCGTGATCTGTGAAAGCCTGGGTAGCAGTAAGAAGAGCCCTGTAGGCGCAGTGAGAGACCCAAAGAAATGCTGCTGGACCAGGAGGCCCACCATGGGCTCGGTTCTGCCGTGCTGTCGGTGCGGCAGGGTGCCAGGAGCGGAAGACACTCTCCTCCATTTGGCAGCTCTTAGTTGAGTGCCTGTTGGGTACCAGGTACGGAGATAGCGAAGCAGGCCACTGTCACCAGAAGGCCGGTGCCGCAGGCCGTGTGGCCCCTTGTCCTTAGAGCGGGCGCTGGCTGCCGTGGAGCAGTCGGCAGCCTTTTGTTGGAAGGGAGAGTGTTGCTGTAGTCCCACTGCACGGGATGTTCCCTCTCTCCGGTTCCCGACCCTCACGTTGTTGAGGAGATGATGGCTGGGAGGGAAATGAATGCATAGGACCCTCTGGCGCTCATCAGGGTGGTAAGGGAAATAGACACTTGTTACATGACAGCTAGAGTCTCACATTCACACTCGTGTTCACGCCGTACTGGGCTTAGCAACCCAAAATGAGTGCTGTCTCCTATTGGCAGTGTCTCGGTTTTCGAATGTTAGTCACTGGAGAGAACAGAGCAGCTCTGTCTGTGTGTCCTGAACAGCCCCGTGCTCCCCAGACTACGTAGACGTTAGCGTTTGCTCAGGGGCTGTGGCTTCCACAGCCGTGACCTTGTTATCTGATACTTGGGTAACAGAAGAGGTAGGTACACATGGAAGGGCATGTCCCCCGTTGCACAGCTGCGGACAGTGACGGCCCTGACCGTCCTCTGCTGCCCTCCCCTTCCCACTGGGCTCCCTCCTGCGCAGTCCTCAGGATCAGCACGTGTCCAGGGGTTCTGCTGGCTCCGGACCTGACTCCAGACATCCTCACAGGGACAGTTCCTTCTCCTCCGCAGGGAGGAGCCTTCGGCAGATCAGCAAGGACTACCAACAAGTGCTGCTGGACGTCCGGCGGTCTCTGCGGCGCTTCCCTCCCGGTGAGCAGCTCGGCGCCCCGCCCCGCCCCTGCCCCTGCCCTCCCCACGCCAGCCTCGGGAGTCGCCGGGTGCACTCCTCATCCACTGAGTCCTTCTCTGGGTGACGCAGCCACGCTCAGGCCTCCACTGCGAAAGCCCGAGGCAAGCCTGCTCTAGAGGTGGGGAAGGAGAGTGGGGTGCTCTGGGCTTTTTTTCCCCTTTAGGACCCCAGAAGGGACTTTATGGGGATTGCGAAACTCCTTGGTCTGGCTTGAAAGTGCAAAGTGGTTTAGAACCGGCCACCAGCGAGAACGGCCGTGTCTTCTGTCGACTGGGTTTATAGAGGGCCACCTTGTGGGACACTGGTGGCGCAGTGGTGATGAGTTGAGGTGCTAACCATTAGGTCAGCAGTGTGAGACCACCAGCCGTTCTTCTCCTCTCGTAAAGAGTTAAGAGTCTGCCCTCCACAAAGCAGGGCAGCCCTGCCCTGTCCTAGAAGGTGGCTGTGCGCCAGCCTCGACTCGATGGCAGTGCGTTTGGTTGATTTCTTAGAATGTTTTCTTGTGTGTCCACTTAGAGGACTAGAACAGAGGCCAGCCCTGTGTGTGGACAGAGAGCGCTCTTAGACTTGCCCCCTCACCTCCAGAAAGAGGAAGAGTGGCCACAGCCTCCGTTTTCCCAGCGAAGGAAGCTGGGCCGCAAACCTCGTGTTTGTGACCTGGTCACTCTGCCTCTCGGGCCGTCAAGGGAGGAGACTTGCTGAAGGAATGGGAGCCTCCGAATGTGCTGCCTCACCCCCTGAAGCCCCGCTCTGGCTCCCATTGCACGGGCCTCCTCTCCTGGCCGCAGGCGTGCTCCCTAGAGGTGCTTGTGCGGCTCCCTATCCATAGCTTGTCATGCTTGTGTGACAAGCTTTTCCTTGCCTGATGCTTCCGAAGGAGACCACGCAGAAGGAACCAGCCTTCACCCTCTTGTATTTATGGGATCCTGTATTTACGGGGGTGCACACCGTTACCTCACTCAGCTGCTAATGGCAAGGCTGTCAGGCCACCAGAAGCAAGGCCTGGGGATCTGCTTCCAAAATGGACACGGGGTGGAGCACGCTTCTCCCGACACGCAGGGAGTCTCTGGGAATCGAGGGTCAGCCCAGCAGCCACTGCTATGCTGTGTCTGTTTTCTCTTCTTAGTGTGAAAGTATTGCTGATTGCGATGACTTTTGATAGAATGATCAATGTGACTGCGTTGTTGTACAATTATAACTGGACAATGCATAATACAACAATTTAAAAGATGGGACCCTACTTAGGAGTGGAAGAAGATGATTCATACAATTACCATGAACCAAAGTGAATCATGGGTGGAAAGGGCCCTGTGCCTTTTTCAGTCTCACCAGCAAAGTATGAAGGTTCCGCTGGAGTCCGTAGTTCTGTTTGCTCGTTTTGAGGGGAGAGGATGTTTTAATTGATGTCACATCTATAGAGTCCATCTGTAGGTGGGATTTTCCATGTAAGCTTCATATTCCTTTTTTAAATACAGATAAATAATCTTTATTTCCCAATGTAAGTGGCATCAGGGTGGATACTTTTATAAGTGATTGTACTAGCTGCTTAGTCCATCCCAAAGGAACGGAAGGTTCCTGGGAATTGAGCTCTGTCGGTGCAGTTGTTTTTACATTATTCGCTGGAAAAGAAAAAAAAAATGAGTGACCTAGAAATTAATCAGTAGGAGCCAAATCAGGACCATAACCTGTTACTTTCCCACTGAAACTTTTGAAATGTTGCTTTTATTTGATGAGGGGAGTGTGCAGGAGCATTGTCACGGTGGGAAGGACTCTGGTGAAGTGTTCCTCAGGGTTTTTGTGCTAGAGCTTTGCTTAACTTTCTCAAAACACTCTCATAATAAGTAGGTGCCCTCGCTCTTTGGCCTTTTAGAAAGTCACCAAGCAACCTGCTTGCTCATCCCCACAACTGTTGCCATGATCTCTGCTCCGATTGTGCAGCGCTTCAGGCTTGTGCTGGTCAAGCCACATTTCATCTCCTGTTAAAGTTCCCCAGAGAAATGCTTCAGCATCTTGATTCCATGGAAAGCTCTGCCCTTGGCTGCAGCTGATCTGGATGCAACTGCATGGCACCCATTGAGCAGAAAGTTTGCTCCACTTTAATTTTTCAGTCAGAATTGTGTAACTTAAGATGCCTGCGATGTTGACTATTGTTTCTACTGTTAATTGTCAGACCGCTTTGGTTAGGGCACCAATAAGATTTGAGGTGTTTTTTAATCATTTTATTGGGGGAGCATACAACTCTTATCACAATCCATACATACATCAATTGTGTAAAGCACATTTGTACATTCATCGCCCTCATCATTCTCAAGATATCTGCTCTCCACCCAAGCCCCTATGATTCGTTTTTTCCCTCAAAAACTGATGTGGATGATCTGCTGCTTCCTGCCACCTCTTAGTATCGTCTCGTACCTTCTGAAAATAAGTCGTCCGTTTACAAACGGCTGGTTTCTTTGGAGCACTGTCCCACACACTTTCTGTAAATCATTGATGATTGTCATGCTTCTTCTCAGTTTATGTTGCCTGGGCTTGCTGACCCTTCTTCCTCTCTTTCTTTTAATCATTTTATTAGGGACTCCTACAACTCTTTTCACAATCCATACATACATCCATTGTGTCAAGCACATTTGTACATTCATTGCCCTCATCATTCTCAACACATCTGCTCTCCACCCAAGCCCCTGGCATCCATCCGCTCCTCGTTTTTTCCCCTCCCGCTGGCCCTTCTTTGTAGCAAATTCGAACAAGGTGTAATTTTTTTCTCTTTCATTGCATTACCTACTTATAGTACTGGGTTTATTCCATTTTATCTTATTATTTTGGAGTGTGTCTTTCTGAGAGAGCTGGGCAGATGTGGGCATGGAGGTGCGCTTTGCTCTTCTCTTAAGCTCTGTGTTCAGTTTGGTCTATCAGTCTAGGCCTTACAGCAGCTGCTTCCTTTCAGAGTATGCACATCAACCAGCAGAGCAGTTGGGACAGGAAAGTTGTGCTGTGACTGGCTCTCCTGAAACCTTAAGCAGGGCCGAGTTGTGGCATTTTAGCTAAAAGCTCGGCTGAACAGAGAGGCCGTGCTGACCACTGACCGAGCTAGCTCCATCCCCTATGAGGCTCCACTGCTCAGAACTGCACCTGCAGGTCAAGAGGACTAGTTAGTATCCCCGTTAGATTTGCTTTGGTTTAGAGGAGAACACGCAGCGTGTAAATTTTTGTCTTAGATAATTTTAGGCCTACGGAAAAGTAACAAAAATAAGACAAGAAATTTCCAGGTACCTCTTACCCCCATTTCCTTCTCTGTTAACATTCTACATTTGCCTTGCTACGGAGTGATTTCTCTGTCTCTTGTGCATGACACACGCACACACACGTTTTTCCCCTGAACCATTTAAGAGAAAATTGCTTGGAAACAACCTAGGTGCCCATCCACAGCCGAATGGATGGGTAAGGAAAAGGCAGTAGTTATATACAATGAAGTACCCCTCCACAGTAAAGAAAGATGAGTTCCTGAGATATCGTGAGGCATGAGGAGCCCAGAGGATATTCTCTTGAGTGAAGTTAACACACGCATGTTGTGTGTTCCTTTCTTGTGACGTGACCAGAGCCCGCAGAGGCACGCCCCAGATAGTAGGCACTTGTTACTGATGGTGCTGGAAGGGCATCGCCCGCCCGTGAGGACTGTGAGCGTCGTCTCTGAAAGCCCGCTGCTGGCCGCTCAGTGCTTTTCCTCCCCCCACCCCCAGGGATGCCCGACGAACAGAGGGAGGGGCTCCAGGAAGAGCTGATTGATGTCATCCTCCTCATCTTGCAGCAGAACCCTCAGCTGCACTACTACCAGGGCTACCATGACATCGTGGTCACGTTTCTGCTGGTGGTAGGCGAGAGGCTGGCCACACCCCTGGTAGAGAAACTGTCTACCCACCACCTCAGGTACCGATGCAGGGGGACCTCAGGGGATGAGTGTCGCTCTCCAGGCTAACTCCGCAGCTTCTCGTACGCTTTTTCCGTGCCTGAACTCCCCTCCAGTCCTTGTCCGTCTGTGATCGGACCGAGCTCTCTGGATTCTCTCCCTCCAGGGATTTCATGGAGCCAACGATGGACAACACCAAGCACATCCTAAACTATCTGATGCCCATCATTGACCAGGTGAACCCAGAGCTCCATGACTTCATGCAGAGGTACATACGGGTCCGCATCTCTCTGTGTGCACACACCTTGCGCTCGCTCTTCCTCGAGCCGTCTAGCTCTCTAGCTCTCGGCCATCTGCGGCTTCCTGCTGCTGAGGGTGACATTGTGCTGAGCTGCCCTTTGCAGTTGCCAGCTCCCTGGGCCATTCGGGTCTGTGCACAGCCTTTGAGCACTTTGGGGGTGCAGGAGAGGCCTCAGCTCCGCCCTGAGGAGTTCCTGCCAGGCTCGGAGTGGGGACCGAGGTGGTATGCCACAGTAGGCTTGGAGGGCTTGCCACAGAGGAGGAGAGAGCCGTACGGGATCCGAGGGCACGGATCACCAGGGTCGTGTGGGTCAGAGGCGAAGCAACTATTTCTTGGCAAATTTCATATGGTATGTGTTTTCTTTCTCCTGCTTATTGGAAATGTGTCCTTAATCAATGCTCGCTTGCTACTTACTAAATAGTTTTATTTTGAACCCGCATCGCTTATGCCCTTTTTTTGGTTTGTTTTTTGTAATAACTAGTCTTACGATGTTTTGGAGTTCTGTTCCCTGAAAAACTTATTCCGCGGTATTTCCAAGCCTGAGCATGGACAAAAAAGGCACCCAGGGCCTGTGTACTAGCTATGAGGGTTGTGATTGTGCATACAGTGTCCACATGTTTTTAATGAGGAAAAGGTGATCCTTATGCTTCCTTTTCACCAGGACTGAGGACGAGCCGGAGAAAGGGAGGGGGTGAGCCCGCAGGGCATAACGGCTGGGTTTCCTTTGCTCCTAGTGCCGAGGTGGGGACCATCTTTGCCCTCAGCTGGCTCATCACCTGGTTTGGACACGTCCTGTCCGACTTCAGGCACGTCGTGCGGTTATACGACTTCTTCCTGGCCTGCCACCCTCTGATGCCCATTTACTTTGCAGCTGTGGTAGGTACGGGCCACCAGCCAGCAACAAGGCTCAGCGTCCCCTGCCCAGCTTGGCTGACCTTCCCTTCTCTGAAAAGAGGCTTGATGAACAGGGCTTTGCTCTCCAGGGTGGATCTGAGGGTCTGCGTAGCATTTCCCCGAGGGGTGGGGCGGGGAGCGCTTTGTGTGCACAGACCTCTGGAGTCTCAGTGACCCAAGCGGCTAGACGCCTTAAAGCATGTGCTGCGAGTGAGCGGCTCCCTGCTGGCATCTCCTGGCCCATGTCCATCCTACCGCCACACACTATTAGGGACACGGTCCCCAGGTGGAGGACAGGATGAGATCTGGCATTGAGAGAGACCCTGGGGATGGGCCCTGGTGGTGCTGTGGGTCAGGTGTTGGGCTGCTAACCACAACACTGGCAGGTCGGAGCCCCGAGTGTCTCCCCAGGGAAGGACGAGGCTCTCCTCTCGGGCAGAGTTCCAGCCTTGGGAGCCCAGGTTTGATTCTGTGAGTCAGAATCACCCCGACTGCCGCGGGCGGGGCTGGCTGATCTTTTTTCTTTTTCTTAAACAGTAGCAGGTCCCGTGCTTGAAATTAAAAGGGTCTGAATCTAGGGGGCAGAGGGGACTGGGGCTGGGACCTGGGACCAGGGGGCTCTTGGAAGTCCGCCCTGCCTTGAGCCTTTTCTGACTGGTGTTCTGGGATGCTCTGGGCAAGCCTCTCGTCTGCTTCCTCTGAAGGCATCCCCGTAGGGTCTCAGGACGTCAGTACAGACAGGTACAGCTGGAAGGGCTGAGCGTTTACTTGGTTGGCCCCTTGGCGTAGGGTGGCGGCGCCCCTCCAGCAGGGAGCACTTCCTGGGGGCATGGCAGCGAGCCCGTCCCTAAGGAGCTTGCACGAGGGTCTGCTGCCCTCAGAGCGTGGCCGGCTCTCCCCAGATCGTGCTGCACCGAGAGCAGGAGGTCCTGGACTGCGACTGCGACATGGCCTCCGTCCACCACCTGCTCTCCCAGATCCCCCAGGACCTGCCCTACGAGACACTCATCAGCCGGGCCGGAGACCTTTTTGTCCAGTTCCCCCCGTCCCGGCTCGCTCGGGAGGTGGCCGCCCAGCAGCAGGCCGAGAGGTGAGCCACGGAGGGGAGCAGGGGTGACCAGAGTCGGTGTCCCGAGGAGGGCGCCTCCACAGACCTCAGCCCCGACCCCCTCCAGGGCCTTCCCCCAGCACTCCCTGCTTCTGCCCACTCGCCTCATGCTTGCCCTTCCTCCTGTGTCCTCCTCGCAGAACTGCAGCCTCGACCTTCAAGGACTTTGAGCTGGTGTCGGCCCAGCAGAGGCCTGACATGGTGCTGCGGCGCCGCTTCCAGGGTCTTCTGCGGCCCGAAGAACCGGCGAAAGACGTCCTGACCAAACCGAGGACCAACCGCTTCGTGAAACTGGCGGTGATGGGGCTGACAGTGGCACTGGGAGCAGCTGCCCTGGCTGTGGTGAAGAGTGCCCTGGAGTGGGCCCCCAAGTTCCAGCTGCAGCTATTCCCCTAAAAGCCACAGGAGGCACTTGGGGGGTGGGGGCTACATGAAGGTCTCGCCCTTCCATGGGAGGGGATGGAATGTCCTTTATTAAAAGGGTTCTGTCAGGGAGTTTCTATTCCTGCCACCCCTCCCTCCCTGCCCGCCTCCAGGGCCAGTGGGACCCGGCGCCGGGGGCTGCAGTGGTAGCTCCCCTCACTGGGTGTCTCAGTGGCCTGAGGGTGTGGTTTCGCCCGGGAGGAAAGCTACCCGGGGAGCCCGGCTCCGGCCTGAGCATCAGACGACGTCCTGTCGGGCGGGGTTCCGCTGGGGGCAGTGGCCGGTGGGGAGACATCGGCTGGATTCCCGGGAAGGAGTGGCAGTGTCAGGGCCTGGACCAAGGTTCACCTGCCCCTTTCTCTTCCTCCTTCCCAATCCCATTAGCCACATGGCCTTGCTTAGAGCATTTTTTAATACTATTTTTAGAAATACATACACCTGACCTAGAAAGCGCCTCCATTTTTAGAATAACCGTCCCTTCACGGCTATCAGAGGATGCACCCCTACACCACGTGTTTCACGCAGCCTGCGCCCCAACTCCCGCGGTGTGCTTCCTCTCGGCCTCTCCTGCCTGTTCCCAGACAGGCACCTTCTCACACCCTGGCGTCACCTTCCGTGCTTGGTTGGAAATGTCACCGGAACCTTGCCGGCACCTGGAAGGGGACATGAGGCTGGATGGCAGCCTGGTCCCCAGGACCGAGGGCTCCGCAGGCCTAGTGCACGGCCCTGGGCTTCTCCGTCAGCGAGGCCAGGTTCGTCTCGGTGGACCCTGGCTGGAAAAAGTGCCTTGCTGCTTTCAAGACTCGGGGTGCAGCCTGAGGCAGCCACGCCCTTTCATTTACGGCCACCAGCCTGTTCTCTCTCGGTGGGCGTTTTCTTAACGTGGCCAGCACGCTGCCCAGAGTGCACATGTCTGCACAGTGGGGGCAGCGCCCTCACCCTGGCAGGGGCCCCCACAGCGTGATGTGGACGGACTCCTGGGGACAAAGGAGATCCGGCTGGATCCGGGTTGACATGGCAATTAGTCCCAGTTCCTCACAGTAGTTTGCTCCCTCACCAACGGGCCGCGGCACCTTCCCCAGGCCAAGTTGACGGAAAACAAGGCAGGTCAGGGGGGTCCTTGAGGCCCGGCAGGCTCTCTGGGTCCTAGAGCGGGCCAGCCTCTGAGGGAAGCCCTGCGGCCTGCCAGGATGCACCCTTCTTCCGCTGTGAAGAATCTGTGTAAATGTTTTGTACAGAGCCCTGTCTGAAATAAACAGCCATACACGGTTACCCATCTGTCGTTTGCTGAGCTGGAGTCCCGGGCCTCCCAGCCCAGCCCCAGCTCCACGGGGTCACCCTTGTGTAGTAGCCTGGACTTGCTGGAAACCAGGTAAAGACCTCAGTCTTGTTTCTCCATCACTGTAGGAAACAGGCTCCCACCCGTCAACGGCTGGCACATGGCCCAGTGAGGGAGCTTTTAAGGGCTTAAGGCTTGCAGGCAGTGCCGGCACCTGAATCCTGATGAAAATGCCACTTGGCCTCCCTGACGCTCCCTGACCTCAGTCATGCTAAGGGCCAGCTGCCTCCACACAGGATAGACGCATGGGTCCCTGGAGGAGCCAGACCTGTAGTCTGGGATGTAAGTTTGCCTACCGAGGGGGGCCACAACTGGTCGGCTCAGCCTAGGCCTTTGGGTGGGGCCCTGGCTGCCTGGGATCTGGCACCAGAGGGGCTTGTGGAGCAGGGGTTGCGGGAAGGTCTGCGGTGGTTTCACAGGAGCTGCTGTGGGAACTTGGAGGAGGGAGTGGCCGTTGGTAACGGTGTGCAAAGCTGAGGGGAACACAGCTCAACTCGAAATGGGGGTGTCTGGGGGCTGCAGCGTCCAGGAGGGTTGGAGTTGGGGTTTGCAGCGATGTCTAGTGGGTGACACGAGTGGAAATGTGTTTGGGGTCCAGGCCAAAGAGCTTTAAATCCCCGGGGAAGGAGACGAAAGCCATCTGGGGGGGGAGGATCTGGCTGGCAGGCTCAGGCTGGGCAACATGCTTTCTGCCATGGCACCTCCTCTGGGTTGGTTTTCCAGCGCTGGGTCAGACGCTGGGTTTACGCAAACTGGAACCACGTGGGCATTCTATGAACCTGCCCCTGGGCTCCTCGGGACAGGGAGTCTCGGGAAGGAAGCCAGCCCGCCGGCCTGCTCTGTTCCCCAGGGTGACTTTCTCGTCCGGCCCCTGCCCTACAGCCACCTCCCTTCGTGTGTTGTGTGGTGACCCCTGCTGCCCTTGCCCCTGCCTTCCCCAGGGCCCTCTCCATGCTGGGAGTCACATATGGTTGGAATTTGCCAGCTGTGGGCCCAGCCTCCAACTTCCTGCTTTCCCAGTGAGTGGCTCTTCTGCCAGCCCAAGACACCGGACACGTGTCACCCTGGCACAGGCTGAAGGGCTTGTCCTTGACACCCTTCCCACTCCATCCATTGCAGCTGTATGCTAGCTATCCAAGCAGTGGCTTCCTCTGGCATGCATCCCTCTGCCCCCATGTTGCTCACCTACAGTTCGGACCTGGTGCTTCCCAAGTAGTTTGATTCCAAATTCCAGGGAGAATGTTGCCTTGGCTCTGCCCTGGAGTGGGTAGTGGGGCACATGACCTGGGGAGGTGGAGGCACCTGGGATGGGATGGAGCAGGAGGCTCAGGCCCCGGGGAACCCTACTCCCTCCTGATCCCACCCTGGGCTGCAGGTGCTATAAGCTGGGTGGAGGTGGCAACCGCACAGCCCCTGCCCCGCATGTCTCCAAGGGAGCCGTCGGCAAAGGTGTGCGTCCTTACCCCACTTAGGAGAGTGCTGGTGTGTGGTGACGAAGATGGTCACACACTTGGCGCGTGTGCCCAGCCATGGGGGACTTACGGCCCAGGGTCACCAAGTTCCCATTTGTCAACAGAAGCTAGGCGCCTAGATGTTAATGCCATTGCTTCTCCACATGAACCTACCGGTAGCCCGAGGCTGAGGGGCCACAGCTGCTGCTGAGGGTGCAGAAAACATCTGGGAGTGGATAGCTGGTGGAACCTGGTGAACGTAATGGACATCATGGAATTAAGGGCCACGGGGCTGAAATGGCGAGGGTTTTGTCACACATGGACTGATGACAGCTTTTGACTCCCCGCTTGTACCAAGAGAAGGGTCTCTGCTCGTCTGGGATCCTGAGAGATGCCCACACAGGCCCTGGTAGGCGAGGAGGCACCCCCTGCCCAACCTGGCTCCCAGGCCTCCATGTTCCTTTCCCGACCAGGGGGCTCTGTTGACCTCAGCTGGCTCCTGGGACTAGGGGGGCTCCCGGTGGGCCCCCACAGCTGCAGCTCTGAGTCCTCGTGGGCAGCGCTGGTAGCCCTGCCCATCACCCATTCTTCATCTCTACCCCCGCACCTTGGGTCGACTCTGCAGCACCTTAGCACCTGAGGACAGGTGGCCGTTCCTTTCCCCTTGAAAGCTCATGCCCCAGATTCTGGTGCCTGGAGACAAATAGATGCCGCTGGCCCACCTCAGGCCTCTGCACCTTGTCAGCAGAAAGACAGTCCCAGCGGAAACGCACAGAAGGCGCTTCCCAGGGCCCTGGCTGCATCACTGCCTGGCAGATAGGGTTAAAACAGGCTGTGAGCCCTCCCCTCAGAAGCAGCCGTTGCAGCTTTAGTTAGTCCTCAGATATCCATTCCCCTGCTCTGGGGGCCCCGGGAGGTCAGAGCAGCCAGCAAGCCTCACCACCTCGTCCAAGCAGACTGCTCACTCACCCGGCTGCCCTGCCATAGGGTTTCCGTTCTTCGCCAGCACCACGTCCTGCCTCGTTCCCTGTCCCGCTCTGCTGGAGACCCTTGACACACAGCAAGTCCCCTGTCCAGGCCATGCTGACACAACAGCACCGCGTCCTCCCTGGACATGGCTGCAGGGGTGCCAAGTCTGGTGGGAAGATCCCGACTCAGGCCTGTCTGCCCAGGTGTATCTGAGCAGACTTGAACTTCCTTGTCAGGTGCGTTAACTGTTGACACCACTCAGGAACTCCTGTGAAGAAGCACCAGCTTCCTCTCCCGAAGTCCTCCCCATAACCATCTCTCACGCCCTCAAGGACACACACTTGCTGCTTCCTGGAAACCGTTTTAATTCACTCACACAGTGACAGGGAGGTGTCCACGATGCGGGATCTGCTGGGCTGAGCTTTAAAACCAGCCCAACCGCCCTCCTGGGCCCCTGCCGGCCCAGCAGCTGCTCCTGGAGACCCTGGGCCTTGGGCCGCAGAGAAAGAGGACAGTCATCCCCCAAAAGTCACAGCAGGGGCAGGGCAGCTGCAGACTTGCTCAGGACAGCAGATGAGAGTAGTTCCGAGAGGTGGCCCACCAAGGCCTCTGGCTGGGTCAGATGGAGCTGGTGGCCAGAGGGGCGAGAACAGTCCAGCGGTAAGCCCCAGAGAAGGACAAAGGCACTGGGCAGCACAGGGGCCTTGCCTCTCGAAGGCTACAGGACCCATCTCCGCCGAGGCGAGGCCACGCTCCCAGTCCTACCTCACAGTTGGTGTGGGGACGGGGCCACCCTCAGCTCAGTGACAGTTCTGACAGCTGGGGTGGCAAGGAATCCCATTCATCCTGCAGCGGCAGCCCCCACTGGTGTCTCCTGGGCCCTAGGGGATGGGGGCAGAAACACAAAGGGTAATGAAGACAGAGGTCCCTGTGCTGCCCCAACATGTCCCCAAAGCCCTTGCTTCTAAGGGGCTTGTGTTGCCTGTCACCAAGGTGAATTCTGGGCTCCCACCCAGACCCAGTGCAGAGCAGGAGTTGTAGAAGACAGCCCCCAATCCAGGGACATCCCCTAACAGTGCTGGCTGCCATTTTGGGGGCATTCACCCCATGACGAACCCCCTGCTGAGAAATACTACAGGGACTATTTCCAGCAACAACCTGAGAGGGGACTGCTATTGCCCCCACCTAACAACAGCAGACACTGAGACTCAGGGACTCCGATCCACGCCAGGGGGTGCCAGGGCCAGGGGCCACCCCGTCTCGGAGTCCAGACTGAATCACTCAGCACTGCCCTCCAAGGCGGGGCCAGCCATTTCAGGCTTTGCTGCCCACTCTGCGTGCACTTGGCAGGGCACAGGCCCTGTGAGGCGCCAGTCTGGTTGTGCACCAATAAAGCCTCCTGACAAGGTGTCGTGGGTGGCAGTGGCGGATCAAACCTGCAGGGGCACTGAGGGGGAAAGATGAGGCTTGTTTCCAGGAAAACACATAGCCTCAGAAACCCTGCAGAGGGTCATTGTGAATCGGAATCAACCTGACGGCAGTGGGCGTGCTGGTATTTTTAATAAGGGCACCAAAACTTCATCTTTTTCACACGTCACACAATACGACTCCTATTTCTGTGCAACCACTAAGAATGCAACTCAAAGACATGACACAAACATTCTTAGCTTGCTGGCAAGACAAAAGCAGGTGGCAGGGTGGATTAACTTCCCGGCCACCACCCCAATCCTCCCCTCCTGTTCTAGGTGCAGGAGCCCTGGTGGAGCAGTGGTTAAGCATTTGGTTGCTAACTAAGAGTCAGTCGTTCAAACCACCAGCCGGCGCCTGTCTCTGTCATGGTCTTGGCCTTGCTGTCTCTGGTTGCTGAGCCCTAATCAATAGCACATGCTCCTCCAGGGGAGCAGAGCCGTCCAGTGCTCAGCTAGGAGCTGAAGAAGGGGCCTCAGGGGACAGGCCTGGCAATCTACTTGTGGGAGGCCTCAGACTTGAAACCACTAGGGAGCAGTCACTCTGTGCAAAGGGTCACCAAGTATCAAGTCAATTCCGCCTCACGGTGACCCCACAGCCCAGGGTAGAACTAGCTGCCTCTTTGTGAGAGTAGAATGCCCACTCTTTCTCCCATGGAGTGGCTGATGGCTTTGAACTGCTGAACAACTTGAGAGCAAGGCCCTCAAGGCCACCCTCCCCACGCACCCTGCACCCTCCACTTCAGGGACTCACCCTGGGGCCCCAACGGGGGCCCTTGGTGACCCAGCAGATCTCAGTGTGGCAGAGGGTGCAGCGGATCCAGTCGCAGCCGTCCTTCTTCTGCACGACGATCTGGCACTGTGGGCAGTGCATGGCCTCGCCCTGCTGCAGCATTGTCTGGCCAGTGGGTGGGTGGGCGGGGCACCGGGCAAATGGTGAGTCCGGCTGCCACTCCCTGCCCCTCCCTCCCTCTCCTCACCCCAAGCTGATTGTCTCCTGACTACCTGTCCCACGACCCACCTGCCCTGCATGGGGGTGACAGCCGGAAGGGCCGAGTGAACCTTGCCTTTATGAGCAACACCCTTGCAGCCCCCAGAACCACCCCTGGCATAGCCCCACCTTCAGCATCTCCGTGGTCTGCCGGGCGGCCACATCGTTCTGTGCCCGCAGGGCCAGGTCGTCCTGGTACTCCCTGCAGTTCATCCGCTCGTGGATGGCCTGCAGGGAGGGGGCTGGGTGAGAGGCTGAGCAGCATTGACTTGAGCCTCCTGCCCCCAGCTGTGGCCACAAGCAGGACCCTGCCTGGGAAACTAAACCAACTGCCCAATGCACAGAAGCTGATGCCAAGGCACGGGCCACCCACCCGTCAGTGACAGCAGATCACAGCGCATGTTCAGGCACCATCAGGCACACAAGCTTCGAAACACCCCCCAGGTGTAGCCCCACCCACCCCAGCTCTGAGACACAGGCTGTTTCAGACTGTGCGCCAGGCACCTGCCCACTTCTGACAGCAGCCTCAGGGTCAACACTGAGGATGGGAGCCAGAACCCAGCTGCACTGAGCTTCAGGCCAGCTCAGTCTGCATTAGGGTCAGAGCTCAGCTTAAGACGGGGGAAGGCAGGTCTGTCTAAATAAGATAGGCTGGATGAACAATCTGGAGGAGAAAACAACGGGACTGACAGTTCCGGGAAGACATGGGAGAGGGGGAGAGGTGAGGGGAAAGGAAGTGGTGCTAACAAACCCAGGGACAAGGGAACAACAAGTGATCCAAATCAGTGGTGAGGACGGTGTAGAAGGCCTGGCAGGGCGTGATCAAGGGTAATGTAACCAAGAGGAATTACTGAAACCCAAATGAAGACTGAGCATGATAGTGGGACAAGAGGGAAGTAAAAGGAAATAGAGGAAAGAGCTAGGGAGGCAAAGGGCATTTATAGAGGTCTAAATAAAGGCATGTACATATGTAAGTATATTTATATATGAGGATGGGGAATTAAATTTATGTGCACATATTTATAGGTTTAGTATTAAGGTAGCAGATGGACATTGGGCCTCCTCAAGTACTCCCTCAATGCAAGAATACTTTATTCTGTTAAACTGGGATTCCATGATGCTCACCTTCCCAACACGATCACTGAAGACAAAGCAGGTGCATAAGCAAATGGGGTGAAGAAAGCTGATGGAGCCTGGCTAGCAAAAGATACAGCGTCTAGGGTCTTAAAGGCTTGAAGGTAAACAAGCAGATATCTAGTTCAGAAGCAACAAAACCCACATGGAAGAAGCACACCAGCCTGTGTGATCACGAGGTGCTAAAGGGATCAGTTATCAGGCATCAAAACAAAAAATCATATAATTGTGTGCTCACCTCCAAGATACGATCACTGAAGACAAATGGGTGCATAAGCAACTGTGAAGAAAGCTGATAGTGCCCAGCTATCAAAAGATATAGCATCTGGGGTTTTAAAGGGTTGAAGGTAAACAAGCGGCCATCTAGGTAAGAAGCAACAAAGCCCACATGGAAGAAGCAAACCAGCCTGTGTGATCACGAGGTGTCGAAGGAATGAGGTATCAGGCATCAAAGAACAAAAAAATCATATCATTGTGAATGAGGGGGAGTGTGGAGTGGGGACCCATAAGCCCATCTGTAGGCAACTGGACACCCCCTTACGGAAGGGTTGCAGGGAAGAGACCAGCCAGTCGGTATGATGTAGCAACGATGAAACATACAACTTTCCTCTAGTTCCCAAATGCTTCCTCCTCCCCCACTATCATGATCCCAATTCTACCTTACAAATCTGGCTAGACCGGAGGAGGTATACTGGTACAGATAGGAACTGGATGATCCCTTCAGGACCAGTGGTGAGAGTGGCAATTACCAGGAGGGTCAAGGGAGGGTGGGGTGGAAAGGGAGAACCGATTACAGGGATCTACATATAACCTCCTCCCCGGGGGACAGACAACAGAAAAGTCAGTGAAGGGAGACATCGGACAGTGAAAGATATGACAAAATAATAATTTATAAATTATCAAGGGTTCATGAAGGAGGAGGGACCAGGGAGGGAGGGGGGAAATGAGGAGCTGATGTCAAGGGCTTACATGGAGAGCAAATGTTTTGAGAATGATGAGGGTAACGGATGTACAAAGATGCTTGACGCAATGGATGGATGTATGGATTGTGATAAGAGATGTATAAGCTCCCCATAAAATGATTAAAAAAATTTTTTTAAAAAGATGGGGTTAGTGAGTCGGGCTGTGACCAGGGTTGGAATTCACGAGAGACCAGCTGGGGCTCATGTTTAGTCAGTGTGGGCAGTGGCTTAGTCTGTGTGGCCAGGGCTCCGGGCTCAGTATGGAGTGGGATGTACCAGCTGTGACTGAAGCTGAGTTTGGGGCCTGAACCAGCTCTCTACGACACCCAACCCTACACCACCAATGCCAGGCAGGCCCCAGCCCCATCTCAGAGCGAACACTGAAGAGCAAGGGGCTCGGGTGACCAGGGGCTTTGGCCCACCCCACCTTGCAAAGCAGGCAGTTGATGTGGAAGCACACGGGGCAGGTGAACTCGTTGACATCGTCCTCGAAGAAGCACCAGCCTTTGCAGTCGGGGGTCTTGCAGTGGTAGCTGAGGGCGCTGCGGTTTTCCGCGATGGAGATGCTCAGGTCCAGGAATCGCTGGTAGTCCTCAGGGCTCAACAGCTGCCGAAAGAGTGAGAGCGGCTCCCTGCATGCTCAGAACCCAGGGTCCCCCAAGAAGCCCCCGCCAGCCCCAAATGCTCTCGTGTCCAAACTGAACCCACTCAACAACAGGGGTCATCAGAGACCTGCAAATGGAACCTAGCAATGCACAGGGTCCTTTAGGGGCCACCCCGCCTGTGCAGGATAGCCGAAGGAAACAGCGCAGGAGGAGGAAGAGGCACGCTGAGAAACAGGCGTGCCTGAGAGAAGGAATCTGAACAGAATACACGAGTGGGAATCATACAAGTCCACAAGAAAAAGCCATTGTCCTCCTGCAGCCCCCTCGGATGCCGTAAACAGCTGCAATCATCCTTGAAAAATGATTGTAGCCAAGCAGCAAAGCTGTTGTGTGTCTCTCTGCTGGGTACAAGGAAGTAGAAATGGTGCTAAAATTTTGTATCTCGATTGGGTGGTGGGTATGTGAGCTCCATTCATCAGAATACGTCCAGTTGTACACATACAGTGGGCTCAACTTTACTGTGTGCAAAGAACACCTTAAAAAGTCGGTTTAAAAGAAAAACACAGAGGGGAACAGGAGACCCACTTCCTGGGACGGCAGGTGGAGGCTGCATGGTGCCCACACTGCTCTGGTTCTGTGCGGGTCCTGAGATGGCGCGGTGGGTGTTGCAGGGAGTCCTGCTCATGTTCTGTGTGGCTCAGGCATGTGTTTTAGAAGAACTGCTTCCCAGGTACTCTGCTGACCTATCCCCCCTTCTCTGTCACATTTGACCATTCTCTAAGGCCTGGGTCAACATCCTGCTCCCAGGGAAAGGTGGACCCTGCAGTCCTGTGGCCTGCACTCTGACCCCATCACAGCGTGGACCACCATGTGGAAAATCAAGGAGCACCAGGCTGCCTGCATCTCTCAGAGCCTCTCCAGGCCAGAGAGTGGCCTCCAAGCCCCATAGGTGACACGAGTCAGGGAGCAGCTCTTGGTGAAAGGGCTGGAGTCCCAAAAGGTCTACACCAGGAGCCTCTCCTCCCCCCTGAGGCAGAGCCCAGGAAACATTAATGAGGCTGGGGGTGGGGACAGTGAGTGAGAAACAAGGGCACAGGCTCCTAAGAGAGAGGCAGAAGTGATGGGGACCCACGGGGGCTTGTGCATGTGTCTGAGGGGGTCTCTTATTTGGACTTCAGCCACCTCCAACCCTGCCTCCATGTTCTGGCCTGGGAACCTTGGGATGCCCATTTGGGGAAGGCCTATTCCCAGCCCTTTAGAGATCAGACATCAAACAGGATGAGAACGTTAGTGCAACTGGAAAAACGTGGTCGGTGTCACCAAGTTGCAACACTGGAGCTGTGGTGGCACAGGGGCTGCTAACCTCAAAGACCCAAGTTCGAAACCACCAGCCACTCCTTGGGAGACAGGTGACTGCTTCCTACTCTGGTAAAG